CTATGAGGTCTGTGAGGTAGTCGTCCTCGTAACTGTCACCGTGCTTTTCTTCTTTCCCATTGACTGACAGAGTGTAGTTGTAGTACTGAGAGTTTCCCACCTGTAAGTGCAGCAAAAGGTGTCATGACAGAAGTACTTAGGAGAAATTGTGCATGTACATGTTACTTGTGACTCACCAGTGCATGCCACTGGTCCCAGCCAGGTGGAATATGGCCAAAACTTCCTGCTGCTTTGCTACCATACTGAAAGTAGAAGGTGCAGTTAGCTCAGTCGGCTTCAAGAGAAATGATGTAACAAGCATCTTCAGGGCTTCATACTGACAGTCCTGCAGAATACTGTTTTGTAATGAGTCAGCGATCACTGCTGAGTCACCTTGTGGGACGTGTGTATCTCCATTAGCTGTATCTGCTGACTGTGATATGTCACAGTCTCTGCCAAATACGTGAGTGAATAAAATGAAAACACAACACAAACACTGTTGGGCTCCCAACAATATTTCAACATTTAGAACAGGAAAAAAATCAGTCGTAAGCACGGTGTATTCATTGTACTGCCTGTGTGTTTTGAAGTTTGGAAGCATTTGGACGTGTATAATGCTTATAAAAGTATATACATGTACAAACCTGGTTAAGATATTTTCCAGAAAAGAATGTCTGGTATTTCAGTTTGTTGAGGTAGGTGGGGAAGGCCTCTGCCTCGGGGCCTTTCTGCCACTGAAGGCTGGAGCAGTTCCCATTGAGGGAGTTGTTTCTCACCTCGTGATTGTGAGGGTATCGACCTGTCAAAATACTGCTCCTGCTGGGGCAGCACAGTGGCGTGACTGTGAACTTCGCAGGAGGAGGAAGTGAGAACAGGGGGAAAGGGGGAGGGAGAGAAGCGTGACAGCAGAAAGGAGGATATGCGACTCATTTATTGTGTAATCACTGGTGCAAACAGTGCTTCAAGAACATTTGAGTTTTGCTTTCATACACACATCTTGTGCCATATCTTTGATTATTGTCTTGCAATGTATGTGGTTTTGCAGATTTGATGTATCTGATTCATTATTATCATAATATCTTCGTTACCATGGGCAACATATCAGAATATTATATATTGTATTTGTCTGTGATTCCCACCAATTGCTCTGACACTTCAAGAAAAGAATTTTTCTTTCTTAGTCAAACTGCTCACATCTGAAAAATGACAGGATTCCCCAAGTAGACACTTGTAAAAGGAAGTCATAATAAGTACGTTTGGGAACCAGTGGTTTAATTTTCACCAACATATATTGTTTCATAAACTTGTAATGTGATTTATTGTGTGACACTTCAATCTACAAGTAATTACAACTGTCGGAAAATATAATGTAATAAAATAAATGTCTCCCTGTGAAATGTAGTCTAGTAAAAGTATATGTACTGCATAAGATACTCACAGAATTCACAAATGTTGCTCCTTCGTCTCCTATATAGGCTTTTGCCTTCTTCATTGGTGTCTGTGCAATAGAAACAGACAAAGTGACTCACACCATAATGACAGTACTGGAGAAGTAATAGATGCTACAAGCACAAACTCAAAACATTATGACAGTATTAGCTATTGTCGAAACATCTACTAGAAAGGCACATAAAGTAATCTCTTTTAGCTAAACACTTGATCAGCTGACCATTTTTCTGTGAATGGATCTTTGTGGATTATTCAAATATCTGGTGGTTCCAAACATCTGGTAAAGAATTTCACAGGACCTAATAAGAACAGGTACCAGCTTTTGAAAATACATTAAGTGCATTCCAGATTTCTCCTTTTTAAAAAAAAAAAAAAAAATGCTTTCAATTCTGAGCAAAATATTGCAAACATAAATGTGCTTATACTGGAGGGACCTTTAAGGTTGCACGTCACTTATAAGCAAAAATACACACAAGAACAGATGTAGGACTTGAAACAGGAATAGAGTTAACTGAGCAATTGTTTCAGAACCCATCTGCTTTCCAAGCATGTTAGAAGCTGAACTTAACATTTAGGTTAAAAACACTTGTCGTAACTTCCAGAGTTTCAAATAGATTAATTCCAAAACCAAGTAGGTCCTAACAAAATTTCATAAAAAATGCTATTATTTCATGTAGAAAACATCCGCATGTTGTGTAGAATAGATATCAACTGAAGGTCCTAGGCCCTCGGGCCTGGCTGTAGTTTCGTGTAATACAAACTTGTACCACAAGATACTGTAGCCATAATTTAACGCTGCAACTCATAAAAACACGTTGTTTTTTCCAATGACGCCTGACAAATGAAAAAAAAAGAAAAAAAAAAAAAAAAAAAAAGTATGAAGAGCGTGGGTGGCACACTCGTGCACTGTCGCCTCACACCAGCCCAGCAAGCACCTTTGATGAAACTTTTAGTTAACACATATGTACAAACTAATCACAAAAATGACCTTTAAGTTCAGTCTCAGATCAATACTGTGACCGCACATTTGTATCTTTAATAAATTCGCATATATTGCATTTTTTAATTGTTAGTTTTATTTGCTCAATTTTATTATTTTTTCTATATCCAGCCTGTCTTTCTCAAAAGTCATAAACTTCCCACAATTCTTGTAATTCTTTCATCATCTGACAGTTCAGCTATTCAAAGCACCGAGGAGGTTAAATCTGAGAGCTAGCCCGCAAAACAGAAAGAAAATAGAGCGTGTGTTTGTCTAAACTCAGTATCAGGTGACCATAAACAGGACGTTTCAAACAGTATGAGCACTGCATGACCTCACTACAGAAACTGTCAAGTCTCTGAGGAACCGACACGAATGACAGGCTGTATATTTCTAGAGTGAATTCACTCACCATCCCACCTATCTGAACATCCTGGTCGTCGACAAGCACGAGGATAATGTTGCTCGGTTTGTCGCTTTCTGCACACCTGACGCCGCAGGTGAGCAGCGCAGACAGCAGCGTGACCAGGGACAAGGCAGCGAAGTATCCGCCTCCTCTCTGTGGGCTTCTGGTCGCACCAGCTCTGATCCTCAGGTCTGCCATTGAGACACCACAGCGCCGGGCCTGGTGCTACACGAAGCCACCGCTGCCGTTCAGCAGCTTTGCGTTCCTGCACAGGGGGGGCTTGCTGGAAAATGAGCGTGATCCGGCTGGACCGGACACACTGGTAGTTTTAAAGTTTGAGGAAGTGGATTAAGAGTCTGCGATCATATGATCGCACTGAGTGGGAGGAGAGAGGACTGAGAACACCGTGTACAGCACGGCTTCAGAGTGCTTTTATTACTTTAGTTTGCATTTATTTAAGTTTAATAGTGACATTAAGTCACCAAGCATAACAAAACCAATCCTGAAATATTACGAGATAAAATATCCTTTACTAATCCCGCATCTTGAAAATATTTTGATGCTAACATGTTTGCACCGTTAAGCTATTTAAGTATTAAGGATTTCTATTCAAAAATCTAAACTATTTTTTATTATCTTTGCCATGACAGGGACGCCATCTCCCTTAAACAAAACAGCAGAGTGATCCATGTTTAGCAGACATAACAACAGGATGAGGATCCAGGTGTGCAACTGGCCTCCCTCCTTTTTTAGGTGGATTATGAAACTAAAACATACAACAAAGACAGTCCAGAAATATGAATAAAATGAGTGCTATGCTTTCAGAACTAACAGCTAACAGTTGTAACAACTAACCTAAACCTAAACACTGGTATTCGTATCTATGTGCAAAATCACGCTATGTCACATTAAAATCCCATAAAATGGTGACATGATCAAATAAACTCATATAGTAACTCAATCTACGTTCCTCTGTTTTTTTTTTTACTTATGAAAAGAGATTTCTCTACTGATTGCTCTATGTATCTAATCAATCAAATCTTTGCGCTTCCTTTTGCTGTAGCCTGAGCTACAACTGATAAACGAAATGATTCAGCAGCTAATTGTAGTTTTTATTTCTTTTGATTGGTTTTACTTTTTTGTTTTCACACTGGATTGAGCAAATACAACAATAGTATCACAAAATAAAAAAAAAATATCAGTAGATATAGTTTAATCCAAATAAAACACAATTCTGAAGTTTGTAGAAGGTACTAGAGGGAAGGGAGAAAATAATATTGATAAATTGATGCATATTTTTCATTTTCGAGACTTAGGCCACTCTATCTCACATAATCAAATAAGTCTTTTAGAGCATTTTCAGTTAAACCTTCTCTAATTTCATACGAACTATATAAATGTACGTTATTTTGAAGTATTGTGAAATTTAAATGAACTGTGAAAATTCATTTAATAGAGAAATTCAACCCACTATTTTGTTACTGCAATTTTTTTTATTAGTGTGTGCTCAATTATGGGACAGGACTGCTTGATTTATTTATTTATTTTCATATTCTGACTAGCCAGTATATGTCCAAAATTACAGATTCAGATTCATTCTGATGGTAATAAAGACCAGTGAAATTTTCAGACTTTTATTTTCAGACTTTTACCCTAGATTTCTTAGGACTATGGAGGCACAACAAAACAAAACAGTTTAGTTTATTTAGCAGTCATTAAAATGGATTCAGAAGTTGCAAATTGTTGAAGACTCACTTCATAAATCATATCAAACTGATGTCTCCTATATAAACAGCCTTTGTGCGTTAAAAGCGCCGGTAAGTATCAACAATGCTGTACCTGTACTTACTTACTGGACTGATACCAAATTTTTTAGTATCGTACACCACTAAGGTTTATGGATGTAGTAAAGGAGGATATGGAAAGAGCTGGTGTAATAGAAGAATATAGAACAGATAGGGTGAGATGGATACACACTGCGTAACCAAGTAATA